AAAAAAAAAAAATCAACAATAAATAATCTATTCGAATTGTTTAAACTCAATTTCAACGCTAAATTTCTAGGTCTTTGTAGAACATTCACCACTTTTGTTTTTAGTGTCAGCAGTAAGAACGAGCAGAGCGGATCACTAGTTTTAATGCTATAATTAGTCACGCAGCCGCAGCTAACCATTTGTTGACATTGATTTGAAATATAGAGGTACGCGAAAGAAATAGCATCAGCTGGTATATATCAAAAGTACTTCTGATCTCGATTTATGTCCATATAACAAGATCTATTCAGGTTACTACTTCACTTATACCCCTTATATTTGTATTTCCTAATGTTTTGTGGGTTCTTCTTGTGTTTGTTGGGCATCATTGGAATACTTCCGCTTATTGGTAAGTGACATCCACTTTCTCTGCTTACCATATATCGAAAGTGCAATACGTGTACTAACAACCATATGAGTGATTTTATGATAAACCATATGAGTGATTTGATGATAAACCTAATCAATGTGGAACTTAAGAAAATATTTGACTGTTTTGGTGGGTATTAGGACAATAACAAAACAGTGAATTAACCGCATATTCAACTGAAATAAAAGTGATGTCATAAATGATTAATACCTTTCGCTATAATTAAAGACCAAACTTCCTGATGGAATATAAGTGTTTTATAAGGCATTATAGACTGTATTTCGTATCGTTATATTTTAGTATTTATTTTCAATCTCTTTATCTACCATTATAAATGCTAAGCCTCGATTGTTTATAAATCACTCAATTTGCGCCATCGGTAAAACGTGACATGACCTTGGACTCCTAGAGTCACGTGATCTTTCTTGGTGATTTGAAAAGTAAAATGTTCTAGTTCGTATTTGCCCTATAACGTTTTCTTGAGTACCAAAGAAGATTTATTTAAGAAAATATTTTTTTAAAGGCACTGTGTAAAGCTCTTTCACGGGTGAGCGGGTTATTTACTTGAACGGAAAAAAGATAAATCATCGAAGATAATACCGAAGGTAGTTTGGGTCAACAGTCGAATGAATCTAACAATTCACTTATAGTGGGTTTGCACCATCACGTGCTGGCACCATTAATACATTTTGGACTGCCTGAGGTAAGATGGCAGAACAATATTGTTTTAACCTTTTAAACTCTCGGGATTGAATTCTATCTCATTTTATAAAACGATATTATAATTTTTCTGCCATGGCTAACATTTCTAGCATAGCTGCCTTTACGTGATGACGCAAAACCTCTATTGAAGTTTGGAGGCTCCCCAACTTTTAAAAATAGACATTATTCGTGGTGTGACAATGTTTCCCCAATTCAGCGTGACGAACCTTCAGAGGATTCATTTTCTTTTGTTTTTACTCTTCAAAAAATGCATGAGTATCCCAAAGGAGACGAAACTGAATAACGATGATATCCCGACGAGTTGCAAAACAACAGCTCTTCATTCCCCCAGAGGTTTGACACGTCGAATTGGGAAAACATTGTCACACCACGAATAAGGTCTATTCAAGTTACCAAACAAACCATTATGTTACTCATGATACATGTGTGTGTATGTATGAAACTCTCTCCAAGTGGCCAGGATATCAAACTCACTCATTACACCTCTGTCGTAGCTTGGATGGTTTAATCTTTTCAGCTAAATCTTTTTTTAAATCTGTTGTATCCAAACTTTGTTGCAAACTAGTTTTGTTCATAAAAAGTGCGAGAAGCAAAATGAAAACATTTATAGTAAATGTCTTGAAATGCCTTAATTTACTTTAGATGGAGCTGTGAGATTTACTCATGTTCCACCATCTATCTTGTATGTGCCTAATGGCGAAACTGCAAAGTTTGTCTGGGATTACCATGTCGATGACCGAGACAGTGAGTTTTTTACAACGTCACCAGAATGGTTTTACACTAATAACATTAACAAGAGTAAAATTGCTGCTGAAAACTATGGCTTTGTAAGTGGAAGATTTGAATGGACATGGTCTGTATCACCATCGTGTCCAGCGAGACTGAGACATCGACTCAGCAAGGAATCTGTTGCCACTCTGGTCATCTCAAATGTGAACACGCTAGATAATGGAAACTATTCCTGCAAATTAGTTTTAAATGGGGGTCAGAACCCATTAACAAACGAAACACAGCTAATAGTAACAGGTATGACTAAAATTCAACATATGCCAATAACTTTGAAGTCTTAACATATTGAAACATATCTTCAACATGCATGGCTTAAACATCTAAATGTATTTTACCATTTGACTATTCACAGCATGTATGAAAATATTGAGCTAGGTGTCATAGGCACTTAAATATTATCATTTTAATATCTTCATATAATCTTTGATAATTTTTTTCCATCCAGTGCGGCCAAAATTTATCATCAATCCACCATCCTCTGTAGTTATATCGGAAACATCGAATCTAGGTGTATCTTGTGCAGCAACGGGACAACCAACACCTAACATAACCTGGATAAGATTACGGGATAGGGCAATCATAAGCCGAGGAGTAAGAAGTGCCACATTGAGCATACCGACGATTAGAAGGGATCAGAATGGAACTTATGAATGCCAAGCTACCAACAACCCAAACGAGCGTCCACTTTCTGCGCGGACTAATGTTGATGTTGAGTGTAAGTATAGCACTTGATATTGTTAAGCGGCATATAAGGGCTTCTTAACCGATATTCACTTGTGTCTTCACTTCTTATCAAGAAACTTTCTGAAAATTCTGAAAACCGGTATTAAGTGCAAACAAGAAAACCATAAAAAGTGCTTACTGCCAAGAAAAGAGTGCGTACCATATATCCTTGAAAAACTTTGTAAGAAATTGCACCAATTTGCACCAATTTGTACGGTCAGTAGATCTCAGTAGACCGTAGACCTACAAAACTTTGTATTAATTTGTACAATTGTGTATGTGTATATAGTAAGCACTCTACCAGTAAACATCTAAGGATTTTGCACTTCTTTGGACTATTCAGTTTCAATATTTTAAATATGCTTCTTTTTTTTGTCTGCAAAGAAGTCATTAAATTTCACTTTAAATAAAAAGCTCGCCGAAAAACACTTTTACGTAGTCTTGTGTTGCACTTTATTTTTCGATCCATCGCTCTAATTTTAGATCCTTCATCCATCACAACCAGTCCAAAGGACATTGTTGTTACTAAAGGTGATCAGATCGTTATAACTTGTCGTGCAAGCGGGAACCCTTCACCTTCCATTTCCTGGTCAAAAGGGAGTGGAACCATAAGACCAGGACATACAGCTTCTGGTAATACTCTAGTAATCCCTTATTCTGTCAAGACTGATGCTGGCAGGTACATCTGCAAGGCCAGAAATGTTTACGAAATGACAATTCACACAGCAGTGGCTTCGGGATATGTTACTGTAAAATGTAAGCCAAATTAAGATTAACTTTTTAAAATATATGTATATGATTATATTGATAGATATCAGTGATTTTACTTCTTAGTTGTGTATGGCGTGCTATATTAGATAATTTAGTTTGCGCGCTTCCCGCGTGTGTATTTTTTTGGTTCGTTATTCGAATCGGGAATAACGCTTCTCTGCAGGTTAGCATTTTATAAAAAAAAGCTACTGGCTATAAAGCGATGCATAGATTTATGGAAAAGCGATAATTACACAGAGATCGAGGAGTCCCCGCAATTCTTCATTGTTCGCCATCCAACTGCATAACTGATTAATTTACTCTATTTTCGCCCATGATTATCTTGACATTATTTAAAGAGTAAGATTGAGTACATTTTTTATATCTTTTTTATATTGCAAAACTAGACCAACCAACGATTTTGTCAAAGTCCCAAAACCAGATCATCAACGAGACAGACCTTCTTCGTCTGACATGTATATCTGATGGATACCCAGCACCAAACATCACGTGGACCAAGTCCTCAGGATCCATTACATCCTCCGTCAGTCTTATAAGCAACGAGTACCATGTTCAGTCAGCAAAGAGATCAGACACAGGGACATACACGTGTACAGCTAGTAACGGGATAGGAAGAGAAGTAGTGGCCAGTATACAAGTTACTGTGCAATGTGAGTGCAATGGGCTGGTGGGCTGGTGGGCTGGTGGGCTGGTGGGCTGGTGGGCTGGTGGGCTGGT